ATTCTAGTTGTGACTTTTTTCTCATAATATTATGACTTTATTCTGGTAATTTTACGACTTTATTCTCCAAATAGAAGAAAAAAAATCTCTAGCCTGGCCCTAATGCTCCGTCGTAGGAGGATGAATAGATATTATGCACTTAAAAAGTTTTTTTTTTTCTTATTTTAGTCGTAAATCATCTTATTCCAGTGGTAAATTTGTCTCATTTACCTGCTGAAATCAAGAAAAATGTCGATTTTTGAGGCATTAGGGGGCGCTGCTGCCCAAAAAGTCCCAAAAACCATAAAGCTGCAGATGCAGGTATGATGATATCAGCCTCACATGATTTTCTTTTCTGACAAACTGCATCTATGTTGTTTTGTAAGAGGCATGTATTCAGCTAATCTGTAAAAGGTTAAATACACCAAATCAAATCATTTAAGTTTGCTGTTTGTCTTTCTTCTGTGTGGACCTTCCAGGCGTCTGGCTAAAACTCACTCGCTTCATCCAAATGTAAAAAAAACACAAATAGTTGAATTCAGGAAATGTATCATTCATTCATTTCTTGTAAAAATAACCATTTTCACAGATTGGTCATTCATCTGTAGCAGAAAGTTGTGTGAAGAATAATAGCAGCCCAACATTTCTGTCCAGATCTCTCTTTTTGGCTAAAATTGTTAATTAGTAATTGATTAATGGTTAACTGGAGTATAGAGACTGTAAAATGCCTTTGGCTGACAGAGCGACCCACTTAGAGCAGGTATTAGACCTAGATTGTTAAACATTTTTAAAAATGTTGCATTTGAGTTTTTAAAAAAAAGTTTTTTGTCTGTCAATATGTTCTATCCTGAACTCAAGTGGAAAAGGCTTTCTGATTATCATTCGGAAAAATAATCCACATTTCAATCAATTTGCTAAATAATAAGTAGTTGCAGCCCTGAGGCCCTGCTTTGGGTTTGTTTTGCACCTTCTTCAGGTTTGAAAGTTTCTACATCCCTGGACAGCTACTCTCTGCCCTTCTGCACACAACAGTTCACTCAGGGACAGCATTAGATTGCAAAGTTCCGGAAAACTGAAAACACAGTAAAGTTGCATGAAAAACGTCTGCATATGTCCAGCAGCTCAAACCGGTACAGCTGAGGTTTGTCAGAAGATGGTAAATGTGGGACTTCAATCTTCAGGAGACCTGCTGACCTCATCGTCCGTTTAAAGTGCAGCTCGCCCACCGTTCCTTCTGATTCGCTGGCTACGCCCCCAGGGTGTGTGGCCAAGAGCTGAGACACGGAAGGGGCGTGAACAATTAGCGGGTCTTCTAAAGATTTAAGCTTAAAGTTAAAACTGAAGATGGATATTTATATTAAGCTTTAAAATCTAAAGATAAAATATAGGATTTATACAAAGATCCTATATTTTATATGAAGATTCTCGATGCATATTTAAATAGGAATTTAAGATCAAGAAAAATCTATATACATGGATATAGGTGTAGAAATAGATTAGACAGACTGGCTGACTGTCTTTCTTTCTTTCGTTATTTATTTATTCTGGACTCATGGTCCAATAAATATACAAGATAAAAATAAAACCATACAGGTAGAAAAGTAGAAAACAAGTAGAACTTACAATTAGATAGGAGATTTAAAGAGACAGGAATACCAGTGTCTCCTGAGCTGAGACTGCGATCAGATTGCATTACGTTTGATGTCAGTAAGTGGCCATTTCCAGATGAATTTAACCTACAGATAAAACTATACATTGACTTTTGTAAAACAGCATGTAAGGTAGTGACTCTTATAACAAACATCTCACTCACACTAGTATATCTCGGTCATTTCGAAAGGACCCACAAAGCATCCTTCTAGGCCACCTGCAGCCTTTGCAGGCTGGATGTTTTATATGTAGACCACAGGTGAGCCGTGTACAGAGAGGTACAACATGCATTAAATACTTCCACTTTTACTACATCAGTACATGCACCAAATATACAAGCAAGAGTATTAGCCTGAGCATACAACATTCTAGACTGTCTGCAGATATCATTATCATCTGACAGATTCTCTGTGATGATGTGACAAACATGCATGGTTTTATTAGTAGCATTCAGCACAGTATTTGACAGATGAAAGTCTGGAAACTGAATAGATTTATCTTCTTTACTCCTGCAGATCATGACTGCACCTTTACATAGATTGTAATTAATGTCATGTTCCAGATCGTACTCCCAACAGATGCTAAGTAGTTGCGGTAATCCAGCACCCAGGACTAAATATTACTTATATAGATATAATATTTAGATTTGTTTGTTAAATAACAGAAGTTTAATAATGATTTGAGTTGCTAAAATCGTACAGCAGCTGCTTTAGGTGGAGTCACAGCAGAAACACCTGGACAACCAAAAGATTTAAGAGTTTTTACTGTCATATTTCACCTTAGTGAAGTTTTAGTGAGAACTCAGGATCAGTATGCACTTAAAGGATTACGTTAAAAACTCAGAGCATGGCCTTGATGGGTGATTTTACTATTGGAGTGCTACAGTATGCCACTCGTCTGTCCTCTGATAAGGGTCACCTGGTGAGAAAAAAGCAGGTGAGGCTAAAGCTATATTTATTAGACGAAGAACAAGACTGTCAGACTTGGATATGGGAGCGATATTGTTGCAAGATTATTTGCAAATGTGTATGGAGAGTTGCCTGTCTGTACAAGTATCTGCCAATGTGTAAAATAACTTGTGCGTAATGGATTTGCAAATGTGTAAAAAAAATCCACAAATCTATTTTCAATTTATTTAAGTTTATTACTATAGCGCCAGTTTACATCATGTCATCTCAGGCCACTTTCCAGTTCAACCAGATCATCCAGTCAGATTGATTCAAAGTTTTCTATCAAAGGAAAACCAGCTGATTGCATCGACTCATTGACTCTTCAGCAATCCCTCACACTAAGCATGCTTGTAGCGACAGTGGAGAGGAAAAACTCCCTTTGAACAGGAAGAAACCTCCAGCAGAACCAGGCTCACCCCAGGCTCACACAGACTCCGGT